TGTAATCCAGTCTGAAGTGTGTTTGTGGAGGGGGAGGGGGGGGGGGGGCTTCCTCGATTCCCTCTTGGGGCGAAAAAAACCTTTTCTGCCCCCTGGGGAGGGCGTGGAGAATTGTGTTGATCATTGCCCAAAGTTAAGCGTGCGCTGGGCGGGAAAAGTGTGCGCGCTTGAGGTGGGGGCGTGGGGCCTCGGTAGGGTTTTCGGTGTGTGTTTGAGGGGGTTACGCATACGGGAGCGGCGCGCGGGGGGGTGGGTGGTGCCAGGCTGGCCTCCCACCGCAGTTGCTCCGCGCGTTGTAGCGTGTTCGTGTCGCGCAAGGGAGCAGATGAGAGTGGAACACAGTTGTTGTGATGGATTTGTGGGGAACGTGAAACACACTACACAACTCAGCTTGTCGCTTTTGCGCTACTATGGGTTTCTTCAAAACACACACTGGATTTCGCTTTTGCGGTATGAATTTCAGGCAGCGTGCGCGGTAGTTTAAGCACGGGTGCATGTTTTTATATGTGGAAGGTTTTCGTGTTCCATGATGCTGGGAGGCGAAGTTTTGTCCCATGCGCGGGTGGTCGCGAAGGCGCTCGGTGGGTAAAGCGGGACGGGGGGGTTGTTGCAGGAAATGGTTTACTTATATTTTGTGCGTTTTCACAGACGGATAATGATGGTTTGGTGTTGGAGAGGAAAAGAGCGACGGGTCATGAAGGGAAAGACAAATAGAGCAGAGGGAGGGAGACGAGTTTGGTGTGTCCAGCCGGTCTGTCTTGTGCAAAACGTCGGTGTCGTTATTGGCTATCGATGGTGTTTTCTGTAGAGAGGAAGCGGAAGGGGGCTGTTGGTGTGCATTGAGATGGTGAATCGCGGGTTGCTTTGCGAGCAACCAGCCCATCGGCAGTACCTTGGTTCGATGTCGATGTACTTTGCGGAGGGGGGCGTGATTTGTGTGTGGCAAGCGAGACGAGACAAGCAACGACCGGCGCAAACGGGGCATGCGTATAGAGAGCACACAAGATGGGGCGAAACTGATGGTGGTACCACAGCACGCTTGTCCTGGTGGTCGTTGTTTGTTTTTTTGTGTTCCTTGTGGGAGGGGGGCCGGGTTGTGTCTGGGTGGAAAAATAAGCGAGCGGTAAAGGCGACAAAGGGTGGTGAGCCGGTGATGGGGAGCCGAAGAAGTGGCTTACATTTGTTCAGCATATCATATATGTGGTGTTTCTCATCAAAATCAAAATCAATCAGACCTTCGACCAATTTTTCAACACCATCTGTTGGCAGTTTTCTCCGGAGAGGTATGGATGTATTGTACCCCAACATGAGCGGGCCGTACGGCGGCAAACGTAACCATTTGCGGTCAATCGCGGCGGTCTAGGGGCACATTTCCCCCAAGTTCATGTGCGTGCTGCGCTGGCCGGCCAGTAAGTAACAGGCGAAGAAGAAGCACGCCTACTTGCTGCGTACAGCAGTGAGGGCCTGGGTTATTGTTGTACATGAAGCAGATGATGAACCCATGATGATGGTGTGTGCCCGCAGTTTCTCTCGTCATCATTGGGCAGAATATCCGAAGGCTACTACTGACATCCGAGTCAGGCGCTCGTGTATCCTGTTTTGCTATGTAGCCAACCGTGCACCAAAACAAGAACGACCGGGAAAAATACTCGTACGGAAGTACTGCTGTGTGGCGAATGCTTTGGTGACGGCTTTACCGGTTCAAGCAACAAACTGAAGTGTATGCCCGAGGAAAAATACGTGTTTCATTTATTTTGTTCGAACGCCAAAACGCTGGCCCTTTTCGACGAGTTCATTTCGATTGTTTTCGGACCACCAGTCGGCGTCGTTGTGTTGAGTTCGGTGCTTTCGACCGCTCTCTCTCGTGCTGCACGAGTTTTGGGCGCGTACACAAGTTCACGGTCGACGAGGGAAAGAAAAGTACGGCCGAACGTTTCTTGCGACAAAATTGTCGCAAGTACAGCAGAAGGAAGGTGGAGAAAAAAAACTGCCTACTTGGGCGGATTTGCTCTGCTAGTGTTTTATTTTGCTTTCACCGCAAAAGGAAGGTTGAGACGAAAAAACTCTTTTTTTTTTCGTGGGTGTCCTCCTATGTGACCCCGGCTGATAGGAGTGGCCAGAAGACACACCGAACGGTGTAAAAAGCTCGTCCAAAAAAAAAAGGGGGACGGCACACACTAGTCTACACATTCATGGGTATTCTTATACAGGAGGCTACAGTAGTCTAAAGGAGTGACAAAGATACACACACCAGGAGAGCTGGTCGCCTGAGAGGGGGGCAACAGAAGAGTACGTGGCACGCGCTGTTGTAAGAAAAAGCTAGAGAGAACACCATGATTAAGAACGAATGATCCTGTCTGTGTCACGGAATCCCAATAACGAACAATACTACTACTCTTCACATGGATACTTCACATGGCATGGATGTATGCTTGAGACAATCTATCCGGGATCCGAACTGCGGGTGAAACGAACCCTTCGAATCAGACGCGGATCTGAGACGGACCAACCGTGCAGGAACAAAAAAACATGGTACATGGTCTATATACACACAAACGTAGACGAAACAGTATCGGCCCTCTCTCCGAAATAATACTGCACAATCAACACAAGCCAGCCGCCCATGTCTTGTTGAAACCTCAGAGAAGCAGAGTACAACTAAATAACGCGCTACGTCCGCGAACGGCGAAACGGGGACACCACGTCAATTTAAGGGAATCGGCAGCGTGGAAGACCTTCGCGCCCCTTGCTAGGACTGGAACTCGCCCGCGAACGCATCCGGCCTGATCAAAGCGGTGGCGGTGGTGTGTTGCGAAGCCGAGGCGTCGTTCTGGCTCCCGTTGGTGTGGAAGAGCACCGGGTAGAAGGTTCGCCTGGAGGAACCCGGTGGCGCGGAGTCCGCGTTTCCTTCCTCCTGGCACTGGAACGCGCCCGTGAATGCGTCCGGCCTGAGCAACGCGGTGGCGGCGAGCTGCGAAGCCGGGGCATCGTCCTGGCTCCCGTTGGTGTCGAAGAGCGGCGAGCAAAAGGTTCGCCTGGACAAACCCGGTGGCGCGGAGTCCGCGTTTACTTCCTCCTGGGACTGGAATGCACCCAATGCGTCCGGCCTTAGCAACGCGGTAATGGCAGCGTGCTGCGAAGCCGGGGCGTTGTTCTGGCTCCCGTTGGTGTGGAAGGGTGGCGGGTAGAAGGTTCGCCCGGAGGAACCCGGTGACGCGGAGTCAACGTTTCCTTCCTCCTGGGACTGGAACGCCCCCGCGAATTCATCTGGCCTCAGCAACGTGGCGGTGGTGGTGTGCTGAGAAGCCGGGGCATCGTCCTGGTTGCCGTTGGCGTGGAAAAGAGGCGGGTAAACATCCCCCGGTCGCACAAGTGTGTGACTGCCCACGGCTACCGCCGTCACCAAGTGAAGGTTCTGCTGCCGCAAGAGCTTACCGGCTTCCTCAAACTGGCGTTCGACCTCACGCTCCCACTCGATAGTATCATCGGTGCTGTTGCTGTCGACAGCGGGGGGGGCTTGCGCGTGCGTCGACCTGCGCGGGTGGGACCACGGGCAGAAGCACACCACCTTCCCCCCAGAAAACCGGCGGTGCAACGCCCTGCCTCTTTTCTTGCTGCTGGAACGCCTTGACACCATCGTCCAGCCTGCGCATGGCGGCTCGCTCCCACCTCATCTCGGTGTCACCATCGCGGGGCTCCACGTGAGAAAGGACAGGCGTAAGGTGACTGTGTCCACCATCGACCATCGCCGGCGCCGGTACCAGGTGAGGCCTCTGTTGCAGCAACAACTCGCCCGCTTTTTCCATCGTCATCTCTACACCAACATCCCACTCCGCAACCTCGTTGGTGTTGTTGTTTCGGGGCATCACATCCCCCTGGGGCAGACCGACGGTATCATTGTCGTCCGAAATGTCATCGCTACCGCCAGCATTGCCACCGATGATATCGAGGGGGCCTTCATTGAGTCCCACCAATCTCATTCTGGCCGTTGCTCCCGGCACGTCAGATTCTGCTTGCGCATGAGATGGTGATATACGCGCTTCCGCCGGTTGGGTGCTTCCGGTTGTCGAGGTGGCGAAGCCCGCGCTGGGTGGCGTGCCTGCCGAGATCTCGACGTCGTTACCGCGAGCGCGGCCCAAGACTCCGAGAGTGTGCTCGGACGGAGAGGGTGAGGCACCGGCGCTCGTTGCCGTGGTGTAGCGGTCATCCAACAAGATCGGAGAGAAGCGCGAAGCCGTGGTGAACTCGCGGGACGGTGCCGTCATCCCACCAGTCGTACACGGAGTCCGTTCCCCGATGATTCTGCGGACCGAGGACGTTGTGATTTTCCCGGAACCGTTCTCTGGCTCATCCATATCTTGCCGGTCGGACGACGGGTGTTACCGCTCCTGGAGACGGCCCGGCTGACCTGGTGTTGTCATGTCATTGAAGGGGGGGAAGAGAAGAGGACGAGAAATGGGAGATCAGTCGACGAACAGAGACTCTGACAACACCGAAACAGTTCATCCGGCAGGGCGAAGACTGATTGGGGTGACGAAGAGATGTCGTTGCAAAACCTAACAACTTTCAAGCAAGAGAGATTTTACCTGCTGGTCATCTGCAAAGAACGACTCATGAGCCTCTCCCGGTTCTCTTGTAGGTGGCGGCGTGGGGCCCTCGGTGTCAGAGTCGTTGCAACCGTATGCCGCTCCGCCTCCCTCAGCCTTATCGGCGGCTCCATCGATGTACCGCTGCCCTGCGTCAGTCCCTCTATCGTCGGCACCCATGCCAACAACAGCAGCGGTGATTGCATCCATTATCGTCGGAACAGCGTTGTGGCTGTCTTCCTCGCGATACAACCCCCAGAATCTGGAGCTTTCCAAGTCGACAACACCACTCCTTGCAACTTCGGTGACCTGTCGAGCTGCTTGAAAATCACATTCACGGAGCACGGCGCAGAACATGGCGGCGGCAGCCAACTCCGACGGCTTGAACTCCGACAGGTAGCCAAGCTGCACCCATCTCAGCGACGTTACCGTGAGCTCCGTGACTTGAGACTGCCCTCCGGCGAGAGCGCCCTCGGACAGCGCGCGGGCGAGGAACAGGTGACCGAACGTCGTGGGAGTCACAGCGTAGATCGCCCAATTGAGGCTGGCGCACACCTTGGCCTCCAGCCTGGCAACGCGCTTTTTCGTTGCCGTGTGGTCGGGGCCCCCCACGTTGCACACAGTGGGCATCGCGAAGAGGAGGCTGTCCGACCCATTATCTTCTAACTTTTGGGCCACTAGCAGGCAAACAAGGGGGAGCAGATCGCGGTTGTCATCCGCGATGCCCTCCTCTGCAGTGGTCGCCACAAACCTTGCCAAGTTGATGATGGCGAGGGCTACGGTGTCGGCGGCCACAGGGTGCGAAGGGGCACACCGGCACCAGCAGTTAGGCCGGTGGCAATGTCGACTATACCACACGTAAAGGCACTGAAGAGCTGGGGCTGGCGTCCCCTCAGCATGTGGAAGCCCATGAGGACGTTGTCCGATTGGCGCTCCTGCTTCAAAAACGTGTGCGCCAGCATGCTGTCGGCCTCTTCGGTTGAGAGGGCGATGGCCCCTTGAAGGGGTTCCGCGGCAGGCGGGCGGCCCGAAGGGGTCGGCGAACGTCGGGGATGTTCGGATGATGGCTGAATGAAGTTGGCGTTCTCCAGCAGCAGTGTTTCCCGCGTCTCCGCGAGAACAGGATTCAAGGCGAACAAACCGAGGCCCGTGGCCTGGGTTAAAAAACGTTCAGACGGGGGAGAGTGGGCAGGATAGAGGAGAGTGGACGCGGACAGATTTAGATAAACGGCACCTCCAGAAAATGAATATGTGATGTTGGTACACGAACCAGGGCGGTCAGGTGTCAGTTGAAGAAGGGCAGGGTTTCGGTTTATTTGTGTTAGCGGCTATCAACGAACCATTCCAAACGTTTGGTTTGCAGAGCCACGCTGTACAATTGTCAAATGACCCATTCGGGGTGACGGAGTTAAGGGTTGAATCGTCCGTTCATCTACGCTTGACCAAGAAACAGGCTGTTGGAGTAGTAGAAACTTGGGTTGACTCCTGTAACAACCTTCTACATCGTCTAGAGGTTTGGGCCCTCGAGCTCACCTGTGAAGTACCCCGCGGATTTGCATCTCTCGCCGGGTCCGCTCTCTCAAAGCTGGTCCAAGCGTCGGCCAGCACCCTGCCCAGCATTCGTAGCGGGGGCGCGAGAAAACGTCAGTTATTTTGGGTGATCATACGTTCTGGCTTCAGTGCTACGCACGGTATTGTACGGGGCTATACAAATTCACGCAGGCAGAAATGGGCTTGGGACTTCCCGTGCTATGGTACAAAAGGCAACGGGTTTGTTCATTACCACCCTCCGATAGTTCCTACATTGTACTATTTACTGCGTTTTCCCAACAGTCCGAATCCTTGCACCCTTCGATGTACACCGCATCCATCTATGCCCAACCAAATGAAACGGTGCATGAAGTGGACTGTAAGAAGACATGCTGCTTGTGTGCTTAAAACAATAGATGCCTCGGGAGAAAAATGTCAGTCGACCACCATGAAAATATGTATCAAACATTCTTTGTCTTTTGTGTTTCCAAATGCAAACGCAGGTCAATCTGTCCATCGTGAACTCTTTCCCCACAAAAACGAAGAAAGCATATAACAAGGAGAGGAAGATAGACATGCGAGACATACATTAGAAGAACAACAGCAACCGATTATAACGGTCTACCAGGGTCTGGCGAGGTTTTCCAGCCTCCGCTCCTTCTTCTTTTGCTCTCTGGTACATGTTGGAGAGGGGGGTTCTGTTGGATGAACTTGCTCTTTCGTTAGGGTTTGGATGTGTGCTGCGTGACTTGAACCGTTTGTGTTGCTTCTGCTGCGTACATTCGCAGGAGTTTCTTCTGCTGTGTACTTTCACAGCATTTTCTGCTGTGCACATTCACAGCAGCAGCAGCAGCAGCAGCAGCAGGAGCAGCAGCAGCAGCAGTGGTAACGTAGCTGGGAGAAGGCGACTAGAGACAGATGGGATGACGCGATGGTCTCGAATTAGGCCGAGAGAACGGAGAAAAAGAAGAAACAATGGGCGAGACGACGGGAATTTGCACACGGGACCAAGATTCACGACGGGGTCGACATTACCACCGCGTCCTGTATAACCTCGGAAGGTTGTTTCCACTCCGCCCTGTTCCGGCGCGCAGCCGCTATATTTTTCGCTGCCCTCGAGGATACAACCACATGATACAAGAAAAATTGGCCGTACCAAAAGCTGACTTGGAATGAGAGGGTAACATGTCAGAACATGGCGTGCACTCATGTATCGCTAGCGGGGGCTCACCTCCAGCAGCTCGCCGGCGTCGCAGTAATGGCAGGGCCTGGAGCGGCGCCTCGAGTGCTTCTGCTGCTAGAGTTGACACCGATGATCGCGTCAAGCCACGGTGCAAGCTCGTTCGCCCCTGGACAGTTATCATACACCGCAAGGGGACGTTGGCCTTGCCAAGGGGTGACCTCAGAGGCGGGGCGAGGGGTGGTGAAAGCGGGATCAGGAGACCTCCTCCGGCAGGCCTGTGGGGAAGTCATGCTTCTTCGTGCCATGTGTGCTGGTGCGATGCTGTAGCAACAGCGGCCAAATTAACACCCTTTTCCTCCTGTTGTGTACAACGAACTGATAGACCTTGAGTCCTCCTCTAATAACCCGAGAAGATATAACCAACACACCGTCGGGGTCGACCTGCGCTCGTAGTCCCGCGGGAGGTGAAGGATGTACTGTCGCGTCGAGGTCGTTCGTGGGCGATGTATGCGGTGCGCTTTGTGTCTTGGCTACTGCTGTCGTTGAAGTAGGGGTGGATGGCCAGGGAACGTCTGTGGGAGAGACAACGACAGAGAGGGGGGGAGAGAGAGAGAGTATCTCCCATAGATCTAATGTCGCGAGTGGTCCGGCCCGAGTCCGATGCAGTAGGAGTTTCGCCGCGTTTTCGAGTCAGGGCATACTAAATAGGAAATTATATATATTGTTCATCCTGTTAGCACAGATTACACCAACCACCAGCGCTAAGAAAGGAGGACAAGGAAGGGCTGCCTACCAGACATGTAAGTCATACAGATCTGTCCATTTTCTAGCCTGAAAAACGCACCGCCAGGCATGCCGTAACGTTCGTTCCCGGAAGTCCTCTAGGCGGACGGTGTATGTATGTACCCGTGGTCGTTCGAACGAAACGTAACGTATCATATCCCCGTCAGATCTCAGATTGGAAAATCTATTTCTTCGTGTAAGGTGGAACCCTCTTCGCGTTAATTAGGCAAACACCACAGGAGTAAACGTGGAGATGTCCTTCTCTGTGGCCCGGCTGATGCGCCAATCCTGCACCGCAATGTGTGAGATGTATAGCAGCAGTTAACTGGCACTCGTTGGAATAGTTGGGACAAATGTAAGCGATGCATGCTTCGCGTTTCGTTCCTCGCGAAGCTGGCATAAAACGACCCTTGCAGCAGTAATAGTACGACCCGCGAATACCACCATAAACAGCAAGACAACGTCAAGAACTCATTATCAGAGCATCTGACCCAAACATTGCTGATGCCGCGTCATCTCCGCACAAGACTTGCCGATAGAAACATCTTGCAGGCAGCCACAAACAAACTTGATACCGCCTACAGCGTTCCGGGCCACCTTTTCCCGTGAGCGGTATGCACTCTGCGCTTGTTGCATGGACTAGATGACCAGGTGGTATTTGTGGCTTCAGTAAGGCTAGGCCAAAATATCGTTACAGTAGTGCTCCCGCCTGAGTTGCGTCAAGATACGAGCTGGTATTTCGTTGGCATGGTTGGTTCGTTCTTTCGCTGGATCTTGTAGCCGCGTGTGTCCGCCAGGCATTTTCACCGGGCGAAACACGCCCGGCTCTCACTGAGCTGGGTGGAGAACGGCTGTGCATCAGACATACAACGTGCGGAGAACCCCACATGACGTGCACACGTGCACACAGCACTAGCGTACCGCTCAAACGAACCATATCCCGTTCCAAGCGGTGTAACTGCCGACGTATCGGTAAATCCGCATAGTCTAATCCATGCCCCCTCCCCCCCCCTCGCACGCCGATGTGTCGTTGTCCTCCTCGTGCCCCCCAGAACGAGGTGCTGGATGCCACTCCACATGCTCCAGCCTGACCCTTGCCCTTCTCGCTCTGCGGCTGTTACACTACCACACAGTGTCTGCTGTCGAGGCTTAATCTTTTCATAGACAAAGAACGCTGCGTCGTTACGACAGTGTAGTCACGTGTGATCGGTCTCCCTGCATTATTATCAACATCAGTAAAGCGCGGAGAGAGATAAGCAGCGAGAGCCATACACGGGTGGCCAACAGACCGGGTTGTAAGGGCACTTTTGCCAACCTGAATCGAGATTTATTTTGGCACGAGTTGCAACCTCCCCACCTTGGGTAATCCTTGCAATGCAACGATGGCCAGGTTGTGCAAGGTACACATTTCTTGGGGGTTGCGCGTTGTTTGCAAGCCGGATAGGGGGCGGTTGCCGATGGTAGTGCAAGGTGTACCCTTTCTTGGTGGTTGGTGCGCTATTACAAGTCGGATAGGAGGCAGGTTGCCGATGGTAGTACAAGGTGTACCCTTTCTTGGTGGTTGGTGCGCTGCTAACAAGCTGGACTGGGGTCAAGCTGTCGATGGCGGTGCAAGGTGTACCATTTCTTGTGGTTGGTGCACTGCTTACAACAAGCTGGACAGCGGGCAGGCTGCCGATGGCAGCGCAAGGTGGACCCTTTCTTGGAGGTTGGCGCGCCATGCACAAGTCGGTTAGGGGGGAGGTTGCCTATGGTATGACAAGGTGTACCCTTTTTTGCAGGTTGGCGCGCTTCGCACAAGCCAGTTGGGGGGCAGGTTGCCGGTAATCGTGCAAGGTGTACCCTCTCTTTCAAGTTGGCGCGTTGCGCACAAGCCGGTAGGGGGCAGGTTGCGTATTGCAATGCGTACCCTCTCATAGAGGTTGCGCATCTTGCCGGTCTACAACAAACAGCAGTGCTCAACACCGTAGTGGCGGGTTCAATTCCCCTGCAATACGTCTTTTTTTTGTTCATGTTTTATTTGTTTTTTCGCCCCCTGTATTCGAATCACTACAATTTTATCGTCGGTACATTCCCGAGCAAACTCCTGAAACAACGACATCCCGTGCCCATGCATCATACGCATGTTGCCAGCTCTAGCATAAACCCATCTCCGCCCGCGGCTTATCATCTCGACCCAGGGTCGTCAACATCCCAAGTTGCACGACATGTAAGCGAGAACTATAAAAGGTGCACTTCAAATTTAAACAATACATACATACCCTTTCGAACGCCGTTCTGTGTATTGGATATCTCCCCACAACAACAGCATGCCCTGGCCCATGACCGTCAGCGACGTCGATCATAGAGACGACCCACAATCCCCGCAACAAACTACATTTGTTTGTTGTGAGGAAGCACAACTCAGCCGGAGGCAACAGCTACACGTAGCGGCAGCAGTGCTGTCCAAACGCACAGGTAGAAACGACCGTCTCTCCCGACACGAAACACAGAACCCCCTCCCACCCTGGCCGTCCCAAATTATACAACCAACTCTAGTCAAGAAAAAACGTCACTGCCTGAGCTGTGACAGCGGTGTCCTCCAAAAACCATGCAGAGACTGCAGAAATAGACCTCTCTACTTTCCCAACACCATCGAAACAACTCCCCTCTCCCCTCCCCCAAAAAAGCTACAATTCGCACAAACAAAACAGGGCGCGGACGAAGCCAAGAGGTTGCAGCGACAGATTCCAAACGCCCTTGCAGACACAGTAAGAAAACACCTGGCTCTCATCCCGCGCCAGGCGCCCTCATGCACCAGCGAGAGCAAAAAGCGTATCATAGCACCATATGATTAAAAAAAAAAGCTGTGAGACATGGCGAGCGGGATATTTCTCCGCCTCCTCCGTCAAAGCTTCCACCCGTTGTGAACGTCATGAGGACCCGAGGAAACGCTTTGAACGATGTTGCAGCGGAGGCCCCGGCGACTCGACCTGGAGGTTACCGATCAGCAGCGAAATAATATTGAAGTGTGAGAGGAGGGTAAAAGTGGGCTTTCGAGAAATGGAGGGCATGCTCTCCCCCTTTGCTGCAGTATAGTTCTTGGTATAGCTGACAGATGTACGTTGTCAACAATAATATTTGCAAGCAGGCATGAGGGGGGACACACAAACCGACAGCATAACCGCAGGTCGTAGAATACGTCAGAGACGAGGATAAGCTACGCACCCCGGAGAACTACTTTGAAGGGAGGCGAGTTACATTCAAACATCAGGGGTCGCCAACGGACACGCTGGGATGAGGAAGGGTGTACATTATAGGAAGCCGCGGGCATAACTGATGCACGACAAGAAACACGCAAGCATCCAACATCATCGCAGGCAGAGCGAAAGAGGGAGCAAAAGTGGCACGATTTTTGGAAAGGACAAGACACGTGACATACCTTGTCAACACGGTTTAGGTGTCCGCCAAGGTTTTGTAGCCAGCGTAGTCATCAAGACCATCGCTTTTCTCGCTCGGAGACGAAGAACATCCCGGTCCCCATCTTTAGTTTACCCTCCACCCCCATCCGCCCCTGGGTCACCTCCTCCACCTCCTGCCCCCTCGTCCGCGAACAAGCACGGCTTGAGGTAGCGCTTAGCATCTTCCTGACGATCAATACTCTCGGTGGAGAGGATCGGCCCAACGTATTCCAAGCCGAACCGCATAAAGCTCTCCTAGGACCTGAGACACGAAACAAAGAACAAATAGCGTTCCATGTGAACGTCGGTTTGTTTGACGTCACGGGTTCATACATAAATAGCTTGCGACAAACCACCAGCGCGTCGACTGCCTAGAAGCAACTTCAGGGGACGCTGAAAATGTGGGAAAATGATTTTAAAGACTGGAAACGCGTCGGGAACAAAATAAACGAGAGTGTTGGACGTTCGGCAGAGCTTGCACGTCCAATGAGCGCTTATCGGCCTGACAAATTGCCGACAGTACACCAGGGGAGATAGGGATATAGAAGAAAACGCTAAAGACAACAAATACCCTCAGCCCCATAGAGCTTAGTTCACATATCAACAAAGGCAACGTACATGTCGCTGATGACGTCCAAGTTTTTTCACGGCCGCCGCCCTTCGCAGCAAACGTCTTTTCGAAAAAAGCCTCGCACACGGGGAAGGTACGGCAATACCGTCGTGGTCGGGGTCGCTCTTGTTACCGAAGTGTAGCCTGTAGTGCCCATCCTCGTCTTGATATCCGTGAGGACGTACTGCTCGAGCACCTTCGAACGATGCCAATCCATACCGTGAGGGGGGGGGAGTGGTGCTGAGCGGGCAAGGGGCTGGATGGATGGATGCACCAGAGCAAGGGTGACAGTAGATGGCCTGGAATTTTCGCCGGAAACAGCAAGCAGGTGCGCGAACAGGACATCAGCTATCCTCGCTGTAAAAACGTGCATGGGGATTAATAAGTTCAAGCGTCATAACCACAGGGAAGCGGCGTTAACATTTCAAGGACAATAACTCTTCGTCCCCGGCGCTGTCGCTTGGCATCATGA